GGGGGTGACAGGGGTAGACCAGAAGAAGCAATGTAGGAATGAGTTGTAGGATGTTTTCCAAACCGATTTCAAGGGTACTCATGTTCTTTTGGTCGTCGAGGGTACGGTGTTCCGGCGGCTTGCTTCGCTTCAGCAGGGGGGGAACAGGTCTTCGCATCGGGGCGCTGGACGCTTCGATGGGCGGGCGGCCGGAAGAAGGGCGAAGAACATTCAAAACGGAAGGGCGCCGGTCATGGCTGGCCGATGACACGACGTGGGTCAATGCCGGGAGAACTATGGAGAACTTCGTTGACCCCAAATCAACAGGCTAGACTACCAGACATGGTCAAGCTGCCAGGGACAAGGTGAAAAGAGGTTTTGACCAGGGTCCACTGGGTCCATCGCCTGGACGCGGAAGGTGATCAAGGCCATGATCGAAGCGGGCTGTGATCCCAACGTGGCTGGTGTTTATGGCAAGACCGCTGCGCATTGCTTGGTGCAGAGGGAGAGTGCCCTTGATGCGGTTTCATTCATTAGAGGCCTTGGGTTTGTAGAGTAACGTCCAAGGCATACATGGCCTTTTACTATTGGTTGAAGATTGAAGGTTGATCAATAGAGGGGATACCCCCCAGTGAACAACCAATAAGTGAATGGTACCAAACCGACCCCTTTATTCTTCCCAAAGGGACATCACTGGTCCAAGGGTTACAGCATCAAAGAGTTTGGAGTTGGAGGGCCATTCCAGAACCCTTTCAGCACTTTTTTTCGTCATGGGACACACGGCCTTCAAGTCACAGCGGGGCTTTGACATGTCAAGTAGATGGTTTGGGGGGGATTATGTGTTCCAGACAGTTTGTTGGCTGGTTTGGGGGCATTCTTTTGCACTCCAAACAATTTGTTGGCTGGTTGAGGGAGATTCTAATGTGTTCCAAACAGTTTGTTGGCTGCATTTCAACCCAAGCCCAGAGATGATGGATGGGTTGTTTTGCTTTGCATTGAATTGGTCGGTTGCGAAGAGAATCAAGTCTATTGCTCCCAACAACTTGCAAAAGGAATTGCGAGCATGTTCATCCTTTCCCAGCGCAATTCCATGCCCGTCCCACCAACATGACTTGTTCGCTCCCCGCACGGTCCCACACTCCACATATCATCTACACCTCCAGGTCCGCCGTCCCGCGTCCCTCGACGGGACAGAAGACTCTCCCGGACCCCGCACCGACCGGGACGTCACCGGGCACGTGCACGTCTCGCGACCCGAGAACTGCATCTGGGCTTCAATGAGCTCCCCTTGGATGTCCTTGAGGCGGACCACGGGGGGCCGCAACGTGTGGCATCTCGCAGCAGCGTTAGGTCACACCAGGCGGGCCGCGGCAAAAGAACACGGTGGGGGAACACCACGGAAAACGTGGCGGTGTTTGCAACAGGGGGTGATGCTGAACTGGAACTGGATCAATGTGATTTGGGTTGCGAAAGGGTGCAATAGGATCCGTGGGGGTTCTTTGGTTCAAGCTGAATCATCTGAATCTAAATGCTAACTCAGCTTTTTTTTACGATTGACAGATTGATGATTGACTTTAGTAATAAAATTATCTAAACATAGACCCTCAATCCAGTTCTTCAAGAATCAGTCAGGTTATCTTCTGGTCCTACGGAGTCCTAATTACGCCTCTTTTTATGCTGTAACCCGGGGCTGGTCAGACGGCCATTTCTTCCAGATTCCAGACCGTCCAGACTACTTCGTTGCATTTCGCCCAACCACCCCGCTTCTCCGAACGAAGCGAACGAGGCGAGCGGAACACCCCGAACGATGCCCCGGAGGTACTTCAACCTCTACGTCCTCGCCCGAAAGAACTCTCAGGGTTGCAAGTACATGAAGGTCCTCTTCAGCCTGGACGAAGCTCGGAGGAAGAGACCTTCCGCGGTTTTCGGCGGTCACTGGGGGGTTGGGGGGCGGTTGGTGAGCGATTTCGGGGTGAAACGGAAGGCTTTTTTTTGGATATGTTGACAGACTGCAGGTCAGTCTAGTTACAGTACATTCTCAATGATTTTTGTTCCTCTCCATCGCCATCGCCACTTGCCGAGGCCAAGGGTCGCACGCCCTTGCACCTGGCAGCCGAGAAGGGGCAACACCTGGTGGCCACTGGGATTGCTGGTGGGGTGGTGTTGACTCACTCTTGATCTAATATATAACCCACCTACATAAAGATGTCTCCAGTCACCCTCTCTAAAAGGTATGTGAATCCCCTAGGGGATTGTAAAACCGCTTCATATTGGGGGTGTGGAAATACAATCAAGAGTCTACAGTCTACATGTTCAGGAGTTCTCCAACTGTTCAACACTCTCTACTCAGTTCAACCCGCAAGCTACAGCGGGTCAGAATTGTACAACTCGCTCATACTCGCTCCAAATCACGCGGCGGGGCTGGGGAATCTACAGGCATTTCAAGAACCTGTTGAAAACCATTTTGAAACCAGCAAGAAGCTGCTGTGGGAGTCGACCCCCTCGACACGTGTCGACACGTGTGGGCTTAGTGTGTGCGGGCTGAGGTTGGATCGTGTGGTTTTCCAACAGGACCATGGACCTTTCTGGTTGGTAAACTGTCTGGTAGACATGTTTACCCCGTCTCCACTGATCGTGTGGCTTACCCTCTTTCATCCAGCAGGTCCGGACAAGCCCAGAATGCCTGACATTCAGATGCTGCTCAGCAGGACCAGCCTGGACCAGCCCGTCCTCCGCGAGAACCAAAACGGGTCTTCTCCGTCCCCTGCAAATCACTGGAGGAAAAACGTCCACGACACCGTTCTTCGGGGGTGTTGCTGGTTTTTCTCTGTTTTGTGCCTCTCAACACTCACACTCACACTTCTCTCTCTCTCTCTCTCTCACTCTCTCACTCTTTTTCACACACTCACTCTTTTTCACACACTCTCTCTTTTTCACACTCTCTCTCTCTCTCTCTAGAGTTTGGACACTGGTGACACGACACCTATGTAGCCAGTTTGTTTCTCTCTGTGGTTGTATCCCCTTTAGGACTCTTGGTTCCGTTGTGGTGGCTTTCCGCGGGTCTTGCCGACGGCTGGGTCCCAGAGCCGAAAGTGGTGAGAACCAGAAAGCCGCGCCTTGCAGAGCCGTTGTGACGTTGTGACTTGCAGAGCCGAGCGTTTCAAAGGTGAAGCAGATCCTAAGCATCTTCTTGGACGAGGAGGGCCACTTTGAGCCCCGTTCTTCGGTCGGAATCGGAGGTCGAGCGACGTGGCCGGAGGGTCGGTTTCTCCGGTCGGAGCCACGTGGCCGAGAGCGTGTCGACTGGATTCCGCCTTCGGCAAGTTTGATAGTGGGCATCAACAAATATGTTAATAGGATTTAATGGGATCCATGATTAGTAAATAGTTGTAAGGTTGGATCTCAACAAATATGTTAGGAGATGTGAAAAATCCAAATATGTGTTGATCATGATTTATCCGGTTTGGCAGCTTGAGTTGTGTCTGGAAGTAAGCTGGTGACAAGTCAATTCTCGGACTTTGACCTAGCACTGTCACCGAGGCCCTCCAAACCTCAAAGCCTCAAACGAAATGGCAGGGACCACAAAAACAAAACCTTAGGAACACCGCAAACACCTGGTCAAAATGAGGTCAACAAGTCAGTCAGGGGAGTGAGTCATACACACCTATGCGAAGTCTAAGGGATACTGAATGATTACTGTACATGTTTCAAAACAAATGTGGGTTCGCATATGCCCAAGGCTTCTGACGCCCCCCCTCCTGCCAAGGCGGGACAGGACTTAGTCTTTATGAAAGTTTGCAGAAGTTTTTGTAAAAAATGAGTGCATCAATTCGTCATTATGTTATGTGTTTGTTTTAATCATTAGCAAGGTTCTGTGATGTACAGCATGCATTTGTGATACAACCCAAAAAATCCCAAAAACATTGTTCATACCTTAATGTTCAAAAAAAGACTTAGAGAATTGGCCAAAACACCGCAAATACCAATGAATCCTTTGAACAGATACAGTAGACCTCCTTTGGAGCTTACCATTATGTCTATATAATATGTAATATAATGAAGAAGTTCTCCTGCAACACCTGGATTCCCTGCAAAGACCTTTTTTTCGCCGGAGTTGGCAGGCGTTGGCTGGCGTACATGTGTTGCACTTCTCCAATTTTGGATGTTTGGGAGATGAATACAGTGGTTTCAGCCAAGTTCTGTGGTTTAGGGTTTCCTACATGTTGCACAATCCCCTGCGTGCTGTACATGTACCGTACATGTGCTGACAGCTGGAACTTGCTGTGCTGAGAGCTGGAACTTGCTGTGCTCTGTGATGGAGCTGAAGGTTGGGATCTGAAAGAGACCTACTACCGGCGGAAGGAGGAAGCCGCTTTGGAGGACCTCCTCCACGATGAGCCGCTCGGACATTCTGGACCCTGGGACACTGGGGTCCCAGAGCGGACAGAAGTCTCGGGTTTCTCAGTGAGGTTTCATGGACGGATGAAGGATTGACATGTTTAGAGAAGAGGGTCAGCAATGGTTCTTTTCATTTCTTTTCCTGGGGAGGGCAGGGGCAAACTGGGCAAATGAGGCAGCCGTAAAAGGACCTGTTGGTGAACACAATTTTAAAGTGAAAAGGAGCATGCCACGTGGTTTGATGATGTGTTCACTCATGCTGTGAGCTCCCCGACGAGCGTGACAAGAGACCAACATAATTACCTATGAATTGCCCCGCTTAAGACAATTAAGTGTCATTTCGGTCTAAACGTGTTCGGCTGCTCATCCTCCCCAGTCTGGCCTAGCAAAGAACCAATTTCCCTCCCCGACCTGCAAAGACCTCCCGGGCGGCCTTCCGACTCATCTCATATGGAAGACCGGAAGAGGGGTATCCGGGAAGGTTCAACCCAGCGAGCCGTGTTGTTTGGAACTGGCAACCAGTGTCGGTCAGCATCCGCAACCGCATCCAAAGCCTTACCTGCCTTACCTGCGGCCTTCCATGTGTTCTTCAAACTCGAGCTCCAGTCGGCTGGTGTTCCAGCATGGCTTGGCAGTCTTTGACAGTCATCCAGGTAAGCCTTGAGAAGTTAGAGTCCGAGAGCCATGTGGCAGTGACATGCCAGAGCCTGGCAGGTGAACACATTGGCGTTCTCCGGCTGCAGGCAGATGACACCCTGCATGCCCTGGAGGATGGTCTCCTAGGACTCTGTGCTTGGGACGGTGCAACAGATGCTTTGCAGATCCACTGCATGGAAAAGCCGGATGTGGATTTGAACAGAGGCAGCTTGGTGTCTGAGTATGTTCCAACTGGTCAGTTAGCAATCAAGAGAAACAGATTGGGCAAGTTGCTTGAGAAGTTCCACCAAACAGGAAAGCTTCTTAAGGCTATGAGAGACTCAGCATTCGATCCCAGGTCCACACTCTACAATAGACGCTGGAAGTCAAGCCAAGTGGCGGTGTCGAATTCCGAGACTCTCGAACTTCTTGAGGCTCTTCCAATTCCAGAGATCAGTCACGTGCGGTTTGTTCAAACATTTGGGCATCTCACGGTTGATCTGGAGAAGTGCACTTGGCTTGATATGATGTTCCATGATTTTGCTGGTGGCTGGCAGCTGGTGAGACACGCATATTGCGGACATTGGCTGGAGCTTGCATGCTTTGTTGCAACCAATCGAATCCCTTTGGTGCCTCCACCTATCGCTGCTATGCGTTACGATGACCGTGGATATCGCATCGGCCTGATAATGCTAGGTCATTCCTTTCCAAGCAATTTCGAGGCAGAAGTCCGGTCCGTGCCGGATGGACCACTTCCAACCTTAGACTTTGAAGAATGCTTGCACGCACTGCTTTCACTGGACTTAAATTGGGATCAGGAAGCGCATCATGCTTCACAGATCTTCAACTCTGCTTGGAGGCCGCGCTCGCGCGCGCTCGCCCAAATCAGCTTATGCTTTGTGATCTTGTATCAAGACCTCAGTTTCAATGTTTTTGCTTTTCCTAGCGAACAACAGCCTACTGAAATAGGACGCAGAGACCCAGTACTTTGGTTTGTTTGTCTCCTTGAGTCGTAGTCTCTAAGTCTCCATTTGTCCCTTCGCGGGTCAACTGGTCACTGGATGATCAGATCCAGGACACGAGCGCCTGCCCTGCAGGGCAGTGATACCTTGAGGCTAGTCCACGTGCAGCTGAGACTTTCCAGTGTGGGAGTCGCCGAGGTGGAAGGCGAATCTTGGCGAAAGCTTTTCAGGTAAAACCGCCCGGCGGTTTTAAAAGATTGACGGATAGGGGGAAAGCCGTGGAATGGGGGAAAGGCGTGGAATGCGTAGTTTTACTAAGTCCTTTTTCATGCAGGGTTCCTCCAGTTCCTTCCTGTTGGCTTTGGCAGCGGGGCTTTGCAGGGTGTCGTGGGTTTGCATTGAAAATGTTCACAAAGCCAGGAACTGGATAGAAGGCAGGTGGATTGTGTAGCACGACTACTACGCTACAGATGTTACACCCGATGCTATACCTGCTTGGATGACAGAGGCTTGCAGGGGACACTGAAGACTGCTGTGGCCGATTTCCAAAAAGGCAAAGAGCGAGGCGAGGCAGGTTTGACGAACACCATGATTGAATTCTAGCCGCTAGCCAAGTTTAGCATGTTTAGCCGCTAAACTGTGTATCAGATATCCTGATCCTAGCGACTTTTTTTCCTGCTGGCAGGAGTCTTGCTGTTGATCTTGGGCCTTTCAACTCCGAATTCTGAAGAGGAGAACTTTTCAACATGTTCACGGCTTATCCGCGAGTGTTCAGTACCTGTGCGTTTCATCCTTTGCTGCTTGCTTTGCCAAGAGGGGGTACCACACCTAATCTTGTTTTTGTTACTAGTAGCAAGGCACCTTGCTACTAGTAGCTTCTAGCTACTAGTAGAAATGCCCTTGTTACTTCGTAGTTTCTTGTTACTAGTAGCGGCTTTGTTCTGATTTATATCTCGGTTCTTGGATTCACTTCAACACCTGACAGACAAGTAAGGCTATCCGAGCCACCAGCTTTCTGACGAGCAGCCTGCCGCGAAGCGCCGGAGATACACCACGAAGCACCCGCCCTAAGCGCCCGCAATCCCAGCCGAGCTGCGGCACTTGCCGATGGCGAATGAGCTGAGCATGTGAGCTCACATGATCCTTGAAGCTGTTTGTCAGATAAATTTGAGCTCATATTTGTCACATGAGCTATTTGTCTCAAACATTTGTCAGATCATCTGTCGGTGGATCGTTGTTTGTCCTGAAATGAGTGGCGACTGCAACGACTGGGGCAGTGACGCAGTGACGCAGTCCGGGGCCGGGCTCATCGGCTTGGTGTTTTATTGGTTCGGGTGGGTGGGGTGAAGTGATCTTAGCATATCTTAACAGGCTTACCACACTTTTCGAAGTACATCAAGGCATGGCTCCTAAAACTGAGATCCTTGAAGGCTCACCTTTGATTCTACGAGAGAGAGAGAGAGGTAATTCTACTACTGTGTGCAACCTGGGAACTTGATGGATTCCCACAAACATGCAATTGGTTGATGATCATGTCGCCCGCCAAGACGTCCAGAGATCTTCTCCGAAGGCCTCGAAGAAGACCGTTAGACCAAAAAGTCCATTCCTGTCTTTCCACCTGTTTGCCCCAAAACCCACCGAGGGAGCAGGGTTTCCCGGACTCCGGCGGCCGGAAAAAAATCACGACGACGACTTTGGAACATGGCACGAAGTGAGCAATGCGACCCGCCGACTGCGACGCGAGCTGATTGGGAGTGTCGGATCCAAAAAGAGATCGGCGCAAGGAGCGTGTTTGACGTCGTGAGGATGCGTGTTCGACGCCGCGATTTTAGATCATGAGGATTGTGGAAATGGTTGTCAAGGTGGTAGTGTAGCCATGTAGCGAAGGCTGCAATAGATTCTCCAGATGCGGCTAGATTCCTATGGTCGGGTTGGAAGACCATCACACATATCCTGGATTTGGTGCATCAGTAAGGGACGTCCAAAGCCATTTAGATATTGGTCCAGCTCATGAGCCGCAGTGTGCCTTCCTGAGTTCCTCACGCCTGCTTTGGGCCATAGATACATATACATATATAATATTATGCATATAAATATATATATATTATATATAAGTATATATAATATATGTCCCACAGGTGAGGCCGGTCACCGATCCACCCACACCACCCGTCCCTCGGATCCCCCCGGTGGATACCCAGGCAGCCGCCCGCACCGCCGTTGATGGCGGATCACCGTGGCCGACTGCCGATCCACCTGGCCGCCGAAGGCGGCTTCGCCCAGGCGAAGAACGACGGGAGTGAATGAATCGGACTGGTCGTTGGACCATGAAGAGTGAGAGTGAGCAACAGACAAGATGTATTCGTTGGGCTGAAAAGGACATCAGGATGAAGCAGGCAGAGATCGTGTGTTTCCTAGATCGTTTGAAAGCCCAGGTTGTTTGGAAGGAAAGCTAAAACTCGCAAGGGAATTGGTTGAGCCGATCACTCATCGAAAGGTGTTCTCCCACAGAGGTCGAACCTAAGCAAAATGGATCTCTTATGGTCTCTTGTCGGTGGGTGAAATGCGCTGAATGTCCTTTGAGGAAGTGGATGCGGGTCGCAAAGACACAGACATATATGAGTAAGAAGAGTGCAAGAACACATGAGCTCAGTGGTAACTGTTTGGGCTCTTTGCTTTGCGCAAACGAGTTGCCTTTCAGGTGACGGGAATGTTGGCCAAGTTTATGCTGGCGAAGCAGGGCTGCACCGTCCTTGAGCAGGATAACATGGGTCGTGACAGTTGGCATCAGTTCGGTTTCTGTAATGGTGTCATTTCTACGGCCTAGACAAGGCCCACCGGTTCGGTGCGTATCAAAACAAAGATTATAGAAACGTGTGAACATGTGGTGTAAAGAAGCATGCTACTCTCTCTAGAAGGTCCATATACCTTCCTGTCTAGTCGCATGTTGAAGGATCAGATCATTCGTGCTTCTCTTCACCCGCTCAACGTCGCACGCCGCGGGTGGACAGGATTCGGTGACTTGCGCCTCGAAGTGGCTACCTTTACAGGCTCAAACTCAGTACCGTCATTATTGCGGGTCATAAGTTGCAGAGCTCTTGGGGGTTGTTTCAGTGTCCAGTTTTCCACCTTGATCAAAGCAGCTAGATCCTAGCTAGCCGCTAGCCTTCGCCGACCCGGTCGTCCTGCTGGTGGAAGTTAGGTTCACTCCAAGCCAATCCCATTCACACCATGCAAGTTGGATATGCACAGTCCAGTCTCCGAATCAAAGCCAACGGCCCTTTGAGACTCTTGTCCCGTGGATCAGAAGGCCAACCTGAGCTGTTGGGTGACGAAGGGCCAACCTGCTATTGGTGCCTTTTGAAGCTCCTTGCGTGCCCACGGATCTCTCATCCAACGGTCAACCCCATCAACACTGGACCAACAAACACGCCAAGTCTGTTGGTCTCACGATCTTCACGGCCCTTCCGAAATGGCCTGAACGGACGCTCCAACGCTCAGGTGGAGCAGCTGGAAGTGCCAGATCTCGATGGTTTCAGCCCGCTGCAGCTGGCACTGAGGAAGAAACATTGGGAAGCTGCCAGGCTGGACCAGCCCATCGCGATTGATTTCCATGCGCAACGCATGGGGTTGTTTGCATCTTGTGCGAAAGCAGATTTCGATGAACGGAACTCATGCCGCATGATGCTACGGATGCAGAGCCACACAGTGGCTCTCTTGCGTTCCGGCTGGGTCATGCTGTTTGGATCTAAAGGAGACGGTGCGTGCGACACACCCGTGGTGCTTCAGCACCACCCGTGAAGGTACGTTCACCTCTCCCCACGGTTGCTGTCACCCATGTGTGTGTGTGTTCTTTGTGGCTATCTTCTTTGCCCTATTCTTGGAGATGCTAGAAAGGAGATTTAAAAAAAAAACAAAGAACACGTAGAACACAAGCTTCCGTGGCCTCCTTTGGAGGCGCCTCCACCGCTCACGGCTCCGCTCCGCACGGCTCCGCGAGGCGCCTGGCCACGTGGATCGGCCGAGAGGTGCCGGAGCTCCGACAGGTGGACGTGCAGATGGCCCGGCGCACGCCGCTGGGCACCAAGGCCGGGGGACCGGAGGAGCGGGCTGCAAGGACGTGGACCAGGGGATCGTGGAGTTTTTGAGTTGAGAGAGATCAGATGATGATCCTTTACAAAACCACCAAACCACCACCCCTGTTTCGATGTTGTAACACCTCTTCACAATGGAGTTTCTTGTTCATCAACAGTCTACGATATGTACAGCTATTTGTTAAACTGGATGAGGTTGGATTGTATATGTTGGTATGCAACTGCGTTCTTCCGCCCCCCCCCGGCAGGTTCGTGTGAAGGAAGATATCACTCACCCTTGAGTCGGGCGAAACCTTGACGAGAGGCTCGGGCGCAGATCGCCGAGATGTTGAAAATCAACGCCAGATCGAAGGTGACAACCCCATTGGATCCCATTGGGACGTTGTTCTAAACTTGCTACACATGTTGGGAGCTGTTGGACCGAAGTAGCCACACTCACCCCTGAAAATCGAAAGGAGGAGTTGAAGGTCTTCAGGAAAGATGTCAGGCCATGTCAGGCCGGACGTGTGCCACACATGGCACGAGGGTGGCACGAAGAGCGTGTGCCGACCCGTCACCAATCATTCGTTGCTGACCACTCTGCGCATGAGGACGGTCGAAATCGAATGAAATCGATGTACCATGCAGAGTTGAGCCAAAGGGATCTCATATGGGGATGGGTACCCACCATCTTCACCCGACTGGTCGTCCACGTCCACCAGACCGTGAAGCGAGCTCGACTAGTTTTTACAGGTATATAGGTCGGTGCCCGGTCGGTATGGTTTGACCCACAGCCTTTTGTCTTTGATTCACAAATTCACAACTGTGCTGCACTGATCTGTACTGTTTATGCAAGGTGTGAAGTGTCAATAGATGGGCACAAGGCCACTCATCCACAACTGCGAGGCGGAATGCCAGTGCATAGAGATGGCAATTCATGCATTCCACCAATTCCACCAAGCAAAAAACCTTTTCATTGAGGCTTCATCGGCCCACCTGCCAGAGAAATCCTCAACTTCCAAACCCACAACTTGGGGGTGGCCCGGTTGAACGTGTGAGGCGATCAGGGCCTTTTGGAGAGCTGTAACGAGACTGGAGCCTCACTGAAGCCCGCTGGCTTGGGTTTTTGATGCAGGGGGACTTGCAGAAGAGTGGAGATGATGGCGAAATGATCACAGATGAAGACTTGGGTTTGACACTTTTCGGTATAACTTAACAAGTATTTGGGGTTGTATTGGCGCGTCATGGTTATAGATCGGTGCTTAATGAGCCACCAACAATCAAACAAGAGAACAGAACCCATCAGCAAAAGGAGGAAACCGTTACTGCAAGCATGGCGTCATCACATGTCCCTTTTTGAACCTTTTTCATGA